ATACCCTGAGAGGGGTACATTCACCTATTCCTCCAACAAATCTAAATCCAACCCCAACACCAGATCAAGATTAAATTGCTAATCTATCCTCAAAATCAACCAAAAGAGGTTATTAAAACCGATAAAAGTTAGGATGTTACAAACCATGTGGCAGACCACCTGAGTAGGCTACCTTTAGAAACCAAAGGAGTACTCGATTATGATATTATCTGTGATTCATTCCCTGACCAATCTCTATTTGCATTGTCTACTTGTCAACCATGGTTTGCTTACTTAGTTAACTATATTGCCACTGGTCGAATCCCCTCTCACTTTACTACCTTTCAGGCTCAAAAGCTTAAGAGCAAAGCTTCCTATTATATTTGGGATCCACCGCACTTATGGAGGTTATGTTTTGACTAAGTGACTAGACGGTGCATTCCAGAAGTAGAAGCTCGAGCCATTCTAAAGGCTTGCCATGATAGCTTGTGTAGAGGGCACTTCAGTGCTAGAAAAATAGCTAGGAAGGTTTTAGATGCAGGATTTTGTTGACCCACCTTATTTAGAGACGCATTCACTTTTTGTAAGGCATGTGATAAATGCCAACGATTTGGGGGGATTAGTAGAAGGAACGAAATGCCAGAGCAACCTATTTTGTTATGTCAGATCTTCGACACTTGGGGGATAGATTTTATGGGCCCCTTTCTACCTTCTCATGGTTATACCTACATTCTCCTAGTCGTAGATTACCTCTCTAGGTAGGTAAAAGCTATCCCCACATGGAAAGATGATGCACCTATGGTTTCTAAATTTCTAAAGTCCACCATCTTCAGTAGATTTAGGGTACCTAAAGTGCTAATCAATGATCACGACACCCACTTCTGTAACAAGTTGCTTAATAACTTGTTGGCAAAATATAGGGTTTCCCACAGAGTGTCCACCCCTTATCATCCTCAAACAAGTGGTCTAGCTGAAGTATCAAATCGAGAGATCAAGCGCATCTTGGAATGGATTGTCAAGCCCTCTAACAGAGACTGGAGCCTGCGACTAGATGATGCACTGTGGGCCTACAGCACTGCCCACAAAACTCCAATTGGTATGTCATCGTATCAGATCATCTATGGTAAGTCCTGCCACATTTCGATGGAGCTGGAGCATTGATCATATTGGGCGGTTAAGCACTGTAACGCCGATTTAGAGGAAGCTGGCCTAAATCGACTCCTCCTCAATTCAAGAACTTGAAGAAATACGGTTAGCTGCCTACAACAGCTCAGACATCTACAAGCAGAAAACCAAGCTTGTCCATGATGCCAACATCTTGAGAAAGAAGTTTAAGGATGGTGATAAGGTGTTGAGGTATCAAGCTTGATTCAAATTTAAGAAGGGTAAGTTCAAGATGAGCTGGGATGGACCCTACATTGTGATGAAAGTGCATAATTTAAGGATGATAGAGCTCAAGGAGAAGGCCACTGGTAAAATGTTTCAGTACAATGATCATCTCCTCAAGGTCTATGAAGAGCCCGCACTGCCTTCTTAAGGCCAGGTTGTCCCTTTTCTTTACTTCTACTATTCACATGAATTTACTTGTGCTTAAATTATCTTGCTATGAATTTTGGAGACTGTGGAAGGGATGTCCTCAGTAGAAGTAGTTCTAAATTCAGTTTGTTCTATGTTTGTTTTCAATAATCTCCCTTGGCTTTGTGTTTTATATGATTGTAATTGTGCTTCTATTCTGTTACCACCACACACTTCTTCACATTCTTGAGTGTACCCACCTTTGTGCTTAGCTCTTTTCCTCTCTCTAGAAGGTGACGTGTTGTGCTTCAGTCTTGAACTTAACTTCACAACTTCCACCTTCATTGTTTTGTGTTTGGGCTTTGTGCTTTGGTATGACCATGTGCTGCAATGGGACATTGCTTTGAGTGTGTGGGGGAGGGAGTTCTTAAAAGTGGTTTTGTGTTTTGGTTGTTGGGTTGTGCCTTGTCATGGGTAGTTCTTCCTAAAATTTGCCAAAATTTTGAAATTTTTTTTTTAAACTTTTGAAAGTTTTCCCCAATCTTCCATAACTTGTTTTTGGAGTTTTGTTTTGAATTGTTAATAATTTGATGATGGATTGCTGAGTTGGGCTTTTATGGTAGGCATTTTAGTAAGTGATTTTGGTTTACGAACTTAGGGTTGAAGTTTTTTAGGGTCTAGAGTGTCAGAGCCTCTTTGTACACTCAGGTCGCGACCTCACTGATCTCAGGTCACGACCTAGGAGGTTAGTCCGAGTTGGCAGCTCTCTGTGTGTTCAAGTCGCAACTTAACTATATATGGATATGACTTGGGGAAGAAAATGGGTAAAGGCTCTTTATGAGTTGAGGTTGCGACTTTGGTTGTTTTGGGTCGTGACCTGGAGCCTTTTCTAAAACCCTAAAAGCCCCTTACTCTGGTTTAAGTTGCGACCTCACTTACATCAGGTTGCGACCTGACATGAAAAGTTAGCGTTTTTCTTTGAGTTCACCTCTTTACCCCCACTTATTTCCACCCTAGTTACCATTTTGCCCTTGAACCTACCCTGAATTCAAGTTCTATTCATTCTAAACTTAAAACCCTAGGCCTACTTTTGTAAAACCACTTAATCCCTCCTTTCAGTTCATTTCCTATGTTCTGCCTCCCCACGTTCAACTCTTCCCCCACGACTGCTGCTTTCCTGAAGTCACGACTACCCATCTTGGATTCTTTAACAATCGCAGCCTTTCAATTCCCTCCAAAGTCACAACCACTCAGCCCTTTGTAATGTTTGCTTCTTCTTCCCTAACCGTTCAGTTGCTCTATTCTTCCTTTCTGTTTCTGCAACTTTTGAGTGCCTCCACTATGTAATCCACCTCCTATAGTTTGTGAACAATCCTATCTCTATCTTGCATTCAGTCCTTCTATCCTTCTACTACTCTCTCAAGGACAATTTAATCTTCCCTTTTCGTTTTTAGTTTTTCTTTTCTTTCTGGTTTAGTTTTCTATGTTTTGTGGGTGGTAGATAGTGTTATTTTTGTTAGGGCTTTGATTTTGGTTGAGTGGAGTATTACTGGACATTGAAAATATTGTTTAACTGATTTTCAGACTGCTTGGGACTGTATTTTCTGAAAAAGATTTGGTTTTGAGCAAACTACTTCATGCTACGTCTTTTGAACTTTTTGGGTTCAGATCGCGACCTCACTATTTTTATGTCGTGACATCGAATCTTTCTGAATTCAAAATTCTTTCTGTTTGTTCAAGTCGTGACCTCACTGTTCTCAGGTCGCAACCTGAGCTCATAGAGGAGGTTTTAAACCCCTGATTTACCTTTGCTATTTCAAAACTACAATTTCTTATTGGATCTTGACTTTACACATCAAGGGTTAGCAAGAAATGGATTTTGGGGCAATTGAAAATTATGAATACTTGGGTTTTCTCATGATTTCCCTAATGGTTTTAAAATGCAAATGTCCTAGTTCAAAATCTTCAATTGTTTTACTTAAGTGTCTGGCAATGGGTAAATGTAGGCCTAGTGTGGGGGAGTGCTTGGTTTCTGGGCTTAGTGTAGTTTTTAGTTTCTTTTCCTAGGTTTGTTTGTTTTTGTGTGTTTACTTTGGTTTCTTGTTGGTTGTTTGCTTTACGCCTAGATGCCTCGCACTAAAAACCCCGAGTCTTCAGGCTAGAAGAAGAAGCTTCACCCTCGTGAAGAGACTAGACTTCCAAGGAAGAAAGTTATGGAATTGTTTGCCAACAGGGGGTAGTTCAAGAGCGATATTTTCCACAAACATAGTAGTACCATTTTTATGAGCTTGCCAAATAAAAGGGCCTTGAGGAACTTATGAAGAAGAGGAACAAGGCCAATTTGACATTGGTGAGAGAATTCTACACTTGCTTTGCTATGGACGGACATAGGGGGATCACTTTTAAAGGCAGTGAATGTTTCTTAACTTGAGAGGTTGTTGAAAAGTTCTTCAAGTTGCCCAATGTCCTTGTCTGTGAGTACCAGCGATGGAAGATCAGACTTACTGAAGTTCCCTAGCAGAGGTCTTCCAACCATCGGGACAGGGGAAGCTAGGTGAACCATAAAGGAAAGTGGGCAGAAAGTTTTCGAGCACAAGTGTAACACCTCATGTTTAAATCAATTAACATTCCTTGCGGAAGCATTTGGAATCACTTTTGAAGGCTACAATTGATGAAAAATCAGGTTTGAAAATTTTCATTTATTTATGGTTACTATTCATTGTCACCTTAAAATGTGACAAACTTCAAAAATTCATAACTAATTGTAGAAAAATCAAAATTGAGTGATTTCAAGTTCTACAGAAATCTCTTTGGATAAAATTTTGAGGAAAATATTTCTAAACTTCTAACTGATTGCCTTGAAATTCGAGCTCAATTTCCTTTGAAACAGTTACTGTTCATTTGGTCATTTTCAAATTTTACTGTATTTTTGCCTAACTTTTTGGAAAGGCATAACTTTCTTCTCGGTTATCAGAATTGGGCAAACTACCCCTCATTTTAAAGAGAAAAGCCAGATCTCTTTGCTTGCCAAATCTTATGACCTAACTCACTCGTTTCATAGTTCAAACTGGAGCTACAAACTTACTATTCCAGGACTTACGTTTTATCTCTTAACATCTCTTTAATTCTTTTTATTTCTTTGGCATACATAACATGGCCTTACTCTTTCCTGTTCATGCTCATAAAATTTCATTCATACCATAAATATTATAATTAAATACATGGCATCATTGGCATCCATAACATAGTTCACAAAATAGTAGAATTATACATTTATCAACAGTCTCATTCATTAACAAGAATAATTCTCTGCTTACTTCTCCTTGCTTCTCATGCTACTATTGCCCATCTTTGATTGACCTAAATGGTTGGTTAGGGAGGGGTGAGATTCGAGAGAATCTCAGTAGTAAACACTACCCATAAGCATGCAAGACATAATGCACATGCATGACATGTTATAACATTAACACATGAATGCCATGGAAAGTAAGCTAAAGCATTTCATGCTTTCATAATATATTGCCAAGGCAAAACATAACATAAAATTACAAACATAACTTTGCAAATATTTCATCATAGCTTAGTCACATCATGGCAACACAACCACATCATGCAAACATACATATCAAGCACACAATATAGGTAAGTTCACTACCTTGCACCTCAAGCTTTCCTCTTATTTTTCCTTTGACTCCCTTGACTTTCCAACCATGTGGGCATTCGGTTAACATCATCAAACATCCTCTTGGATGTTCCAAGATCCTAAACATAATCATAATGATCATACAATCTATTAGGACCACTAGATTACATAAAGTTCAAGACTAGCTCTCTTGAACCTCAACACTTTCTCTTAGTTTTAAGATTTTCTTTCTAGCTTTCTAACATAAATCTCATCATTTCCCATCCTTAATATCTGTTTCTTGTCAATTAGGACCACTTTAGATGGCCTTAGATTCAAGAAGATCAAACTTGAAAATTTTGCTTCGCGGGTACTGTTCACGCAGAAATTTCAGAATTTTTGCTCAACTTTGAAAATTCATAATTAATTCTAGAAAAATCAAAACTAAGTGGTTCCAAGTCTCAGTGAAACCTCCTTAAGGTAAATTTAGAAGAAAAATAGTTCCAGGAACCAATTCTATTCTGAACAGTACTAGAATTGTACGGAATTTGACACTCTTCCAAAGGTTAAATACTGTTTCCAGATTTCAAACCCTAATATTGAAAAATCACCATAAATCATACACATATCCAAATGAAGTTTTCTACCCATGGATTTAAAGCTCACAGAGTTTACTTTAATCATACCAAATTTCAAAATCAGATACAAAGAGTAACTTATTTGAAATAGGCATCAAATCAGATGCTATAACCATCACATACCTTGATCTTGAAGCTTGAATCTTGTTCCTTCTTCTTGGCCTTCACCCCTACGTTTTTCTCTCTAAATTTTGGTAGAGTTTTTCCTCTACAAATGGCTGCCAAATGCTCTTCTAAGGTGGGGTATTTATAGGCTTCATACTTGCCATAATTTCACACATGCCCTTCTTGCACAAGACTAAATCTTAGCCCTCCAATTTTTACCTCTTACCACATGTACAAATCTTAGGCTATGTGGCTTAATGTGTTGACACTTGGATGGTGAGTCATTAGGGCTTATGTCATCTTGATGACATCATGCTTACATCATCAAGCCACATGTCTTTAATTCAACCGCACATGTGTCTTGCATTCGACCGTACATGTGTTTTACATCTACCCGTACACGTAATATTTTCTTCTTCCCATCTAATAGTACACTTGTCACTTTCATGTCCTTTCATCATTTATGGCATTAAAATAGGGAGAAAATAAATGGAAAATTCATGCAAAAATATTTTCTTAATTATTTCTCTATCTATTAAGCCAATCTTGCACCATATCAGATACTTTTCGGGTCTTGACCCTGTACCACTAGGACATGTTCTGACACCATTTTCTCATCTAAATTAAGTACATATATAGTGCCACCTTAGAGGAACA